GCTTGTATGCGGCAAGACTCCCATTTACCCAACAATGTATATTGAGCATATTAATCAACAATCGAACTCATATGTAAAGATATGCAACCACAAAATAGTGGTCGTCGAGCTTATGATAAAAAAAAATTTATAGATTGAATACACCATGATTTAATAGTTGAATGAAAATGAGCCCCCGATTGGAGAGAAGCTATGCCACTCTTTATAGAAAATCCATAGAGAAACTTCTCGAACCAAAGCGCCAATAAAATCAGTGTCTGAATCCGTATCTGAACCTTTGATATGGTGAATCTATTCTTTGCACGGTCAATTAAGGCGAGACTAATTCCGTAACTGCGATCATATCTACTTTTTCAGTCTTTTTTTTTTTTTGCAAGTAAGCCCACTTTACGCGAATAAGTCACGAGCCCATGAAATGGTAAGAGAAATAGATTCAATTCCGATGAGCCTAAATCTAATGATCTAATGTCACTATCGCTTGCTTCGGCTCTTTTCTTTTCATTTAGGGGGTGAGATAAGTGTACACGAAAAGAGAATTGTATAATCTTTTTTTTTCATTTTTTTGTGCAAATAAGCCCATTTTATGTAAATAAGCCACAAGCGCATGAAATGCGCCACAAAACTCTAAACTCATACATCATATAAGATGTGATTCAAAAATAGAAATAATCCTAGCATATCACACTCATCACAAACTTCTTATCCCTATTCAAAGTTTCTGAGGTATGTAAGGTGACATATATGCTTGCTATGGAAATACATGGCAAGTGAAATCTCAGATATGCATTGCCCACATTAACATTCTTTGAGATTTGGTAACTCTAATTATGGAAAACCATTTTTCCAAGTTTATCAATTCATTAAAAGAGAAAGGAAAAGGATATATTGCAATTATGCTAACTATGAAAATCATAATAAGTTAAATCTCGACACTATATTGCCCACGTGAACGGCCTTTGACACTTGTCAACATTACTTACGTAAAAAAAGGAAAATTAAGTTGTAAAGCCATTCAATATGTTCCCAAAAGATTTTGAATTTACAAGATTTATGCCTTAAATAATAAATAGAAAACAACAAGTTAAAATTATGTCAACTTTGAAAATATATGGCAAGTAAATTCTCAACTACATGACAAGTTTTCAATATTAACCCAAATTTATCAAGTCATTAAAGAATTTATAATTAGAGAAAGACATATACACCAGCTATAAATATACATGACAGGTGAAATCTCAGCAATGCATTGTCCATATTAATATTCTTCGACACTTGGTAACTCTAATTAGACAAGGACAAGCACGGAGACCACTGGTTCATTGTCCACAAAACGTTGATCCACATCACCATGCCAACTCTAGTAATGTTTGCGATGGCTTGGAAGAATCAAGATAAGGTGAACCACTAGATGGACCTTGGTGATGGTGAACAAGCTTAGAATGGTAATATTTGTTGAAGCTTGGAAGGACCGCACTTGTGAAAGTGAACAACTTAGTAAAGTTACAATCGTCAATATGCTTGGAAGGACCAGAAGATAACAGAGTAACGGATCGCTATTGGGACAATAAATTGTTTGCTGGAGTAGTCTCTTCATATGAGGTGGGAAGATAGTGACAATGCCGATAATCCAATGAGTTTAGTGAAAATGAGAAATCAACGGTGATGTTGATGTCATTAGAGGTCTTGGATGCTGACTTGGTCAATCAGTGAAGACGAAGAATCATCGGGAATGCTAATGTCTTTGAAGTCTTTGGAAGCTTATGAAGCCAAGAGGATCATTGGAAGATTGATTGGAAGTCATTCCACACAATTTCGTTGGGGGGTATCACCAACAAGTTATTAATGATCTACACTCCTCATTATATGGGTAAGGGATAGTGTAGATAACGAGTTGTGGGAAGTGGTGTTCGCACGCTCATCTGACTGGAATGTTGATCAACACCAATATAGCCGTTACAAAGGCTTGGAATTCGCATCATGAGAACTGGAGATGAATCAGAGTAGTAACGACAAAATTGACAAAAGATAGACATTGACAGGAGTAGTCTGACTAGTTTGGGAAACTATCACAGTCAGCGATAGCTATTATGATGCTGGTGAGTGATAGGGAGTCGTTCTACTGATGGCAATGGTAATACCAATGGATACTTCATGGAGTTGAGTGTCAAACGGTCATTTGAGGGTTGCATGGCTATATGTACTCAATCCAAGTGAAATAGTAAGGTTGAGGTGGAAATGATCAAACCAAGCCTATAGCTCATGGGTATTCTTCTTTACTTTTTTCTTTTTTCTGTTGTTAGCACCTATGATGCTAATAATGTCTCTATGTTTGTGATGTTAAGTTGTAATCATAGTAGAGTCAAGTATACAAGTGTAAGAGCAGTGATTGTGTCTTGATAGTGTGATCTATCGCGTGAAAGGAACAATACTTACCAGTTGTAACTTGCAATGTTGATTACTAGTGGATTTCAGCCTATTATGACCGTTAGTATTGAGAGTGAATGTAGGCTTAGGGATAAAGCCTACAAAACTCAGTGTGCTGTCTTCTATCTCTTCATTATATGTTTATATCGTAATAACAATCAAAATATGGTCAAAAGAAAGAATCATTATTTGACAGGACTTCTTCCTATACCTATGAATTCCATTGGACCCAAAAATGTTACATCGGAAAAATCTTTTGAGTCTTCTAATATCAATAGGTTGATTGTTTCACTTCTCGATCTTCCAAAAGGAAAAAAGATCTCTGAGAGTTGTTTCCTAGATCTGAAAAAGAAAGTACTTGGGTTCTCCCAATAACGAAAAAATGTATCATGCCTCAATCTAATTGGGGTTCACAGTGGTGGAGGAACTCAATCGAAAAAAAGAGGGATTCTAGTTGTAAGATATATAATGAAACCGTCGTTGGATTTGAGATCTCATTCAAAGAGAAAGAAATCAAATATTTATCGGCACCGCACTTGATTACGTTATTAGTTCATCAGCAGAACTCATGATTACATTAAATTATTGCTGCTACTAATGAAGCTTCACTTGTTGTGTTCCACAAAAGTCCTTTATAGTTTCTCATTCAACCTATTCACCCCCATCTAGGTTGTATTGTTAGCCCCAACAATTGGTGTAGGAGCCTAGTTGCTTATTATTATAAGTGCTTTACTTCTTTGCATAAAGATCTTGTTATGACTAACTTTACTAGAGGTGTTTTTACAAATTTCTATTTGTTATAGATTTATTCTTTGAATTCAAGATTTCTTTAATTACTTCGTTGCTTTTAAGGATTTCTTTATTTTGAATCAAATGTTTCATATTTGTAGTTTACTAAAAGATCCTCTTTCAAAATTTCATGAAATCTCCTTCTTGGCATTGAAAGAGTTTTCAGATTACTTTGATTGTACTTTTTGCAAGTATTATGACTAAATTGCAAGTTCGTAACAAATATTAGGATTTTTAGTGAATATATCCCTATAAACAAATATACTTTTTTCGGTCTTTGAAGAAAATTTATTTAATGAAATGAACAATAGTTACCACATGATACTCAAACTTCGTAAATTTCGTTTTCTTTCATATAATCTAGTTTTTGAATTGATGAAATTCATCAATTTTCACACTCCTAAATTCCATCCAACAGCGAGATCAACTGAAGAAAAAGAAATGGGTTAATACCACGAAAAACCCCAAACCGGTACACCTGTGATAATTTTATCTCAAACTAATTTTTTGACCGCAAAAAACCCCAAATTGGTACACCTGTGACAAATTTACCCTCAGTTTATTTCCGTTAAATTTTACTGTCAAATTGATTTGTTAAATGACATGCGACAGCTGTCTGATTTGCCAGTTTTATGTTTTACCCTATGTTTGTCACATGTGTACCAATTTGTGATTTTTTGTGGTATAAATCTAGTTTAACAGAAATCAACGGAGGGTAAATTTATCACAAATGTACCAGTTTGAGGTTTTTAATGGTCAAAATATTAGTTTTGAGTAAATTTGTCACAAGTGTACCAGTTTGGGGTTTTTTGTGGTCAAAAAATTAATTTTGAGTAAAATTATCACAAGTGTACCAGTTTGGGATTTTTTGTGGTCAGAAAATTAATTTTGAGTAAAATTATCACAAGTATACTAATTTGGGGTTTTTCATTGTATTAATCCAAAAGATAAAGATCAGCCAAAAATTTTGAAAAAGAACAGACAACTGTATAAGTTCTTCCCTTCAATCATAAAGCTAATTATAATTGACTATTGTGTCGCCCGCACCATATTCGATCATTTTATATTACAGACTGTTGTAGGAAAATCAAAATAGCCTAAAAATATTAGCAATTTAAAAAGAATATTTGCTAAGAAGTGGAGCTCGGTTGGGTCCAGATCAAGTACGAGTATGGGAATGGGGCGCTAAATTTGTACCGCATAAAATGGGTCCATATTTATTACATTGGTCAATTTGGATTGAAATACTTTCGATATGGTTGGACGCAAAGCTGTCCTAATCCACCTGTTTGACGGGGTTATTTAGTCTTCATTCTTACGTCTCCCCTAATTTTTTAATTTTTATTCTTCTTACTTATCTTCCAACGTCCCATCACCGAACGCGCTCTTAAATTTCGTCGAGTCACCACAGCCAAGAAACTATCTTTTTCTTTTCGACCAGAAGTCAACAGAACGTAATCTTCGGCGCATGATAATTTGTCTGAAAAAACCCTTTTTCTTTATTTCGAATCGAACATAGCACAAAGTTATGTACAAAAAAAAGTGATTTATTTGTAGTCAGGCTATAAGGTCTGTCCCCCGTCAGATCTGCTGGATCCCACAGTCATCTCGACGTTTCTCGACCGTCCATCCCCATCACGAGTGAAAGATCAACGATAACATCTTTCTTCATCTGCAGATTTCTCTCTTCGGCTGACTGACCTAATCTGATCCATCTTCGCAAGATTCTTGCACGTCGCATGCAGCAAACATCAGACCCAGAAAAGCAAGAGCAGAACAAGAAAAAGGAAAGGAAAACATGGGATCTCTCGAATTGCAACGAAGTTTTCAAACGGAAACAGCGCATCAGATCGGACTGAAGCTTCCATCCCTAACGACAAACAACCAGATCTCACTTCTGCAGACTCTTTAATTTATTCTCAAACTGCTGAAACTGTAATATGACCGAGGATTACTAGTAATAACTCAGAAGAAGTACGACGAAACGATGAACTCAGGCTCTGCCGTGAACGGCCTTGAACGACGAGAGGCGCCTGACATGCTCCCACGGCTTGTCAAAAACGAGGGCCTCGAAGTTCTTCGTGTTGGCCCCGTCCTTGACCTCGACGACGAGCCTGTAGTTCGTCCCGGAGACGACCTGGGTCTCGCCTTTCACCACCTTCTTCAGCAGCAGCCCCGTATTGGCATCGTCATTGTGCGTCTTGACGGCGAACTCAGCGATCTCCCTCACGTACGGGTCGCTCAGGTTCTTTATCGGCGTCCATCCCCCGAGCAGCGGCTCCCCGGGGGCCGCCCCGAAGGCCGAGACTTGGAGGAGGAGCAGGGCGGCGGCGGCGGCGGCGAGGAGGAGGAGTCTCATTTTCGGGTTTGGTTTTTGGTTTTGGTAACTGTTTTATGCTTCAGTTTTCTTGGTGGGGGCTTGGAAAGTGAATGCTTATCCGGGTGGAGAATACGTGCAGTTATAGCCCTTAGGAATTGCGAGGAACACGGACACATGTCGTGTGGCGGGGGGTAAAGAATAAATTTTTTCTTGGGTCGACTTGGAATTTATGGCAAGGTTGTAGTTATTTAATGGATTTAAGGATTTAATGTGTTAAAGAAGTGAGGGTACTAAAATAATACGAAAAAAATATTCGCAATGCAGAAATATACATGTTCATGTGTTTTTAAGCGGGTTTATATTAGGGTTAATACTACTAAAAACTCTATATTGGTACATATGTGACAAATTTACCACAAACTAATTTTTTAGACATCAAAAACCGTAAATTGGTACACCTATAACAAATTTACCCTCCGTTAGTTTTTATTAAATTTTACCGTCAAATTGTTGAGTTGATTGACACGTTTCAATTGACGAGTACACCAGTTTAGGGTTTTACCCCTCCGTTTGTCGCAGGTTTACCAGTTTGTGATTTGTTGCGGTATTAATTCAAATTAACAAATGGTAAATCTATCACAAGTGTACTAGTTTGGAGTTTTTTGTGATCAAAAAATTAGTTTGAGGTAAATTTCTCACAGGTGAACCAATTTGAGGTTTTTGATGATCAAAAAATTAGTTCAGGATAAATTTATCACAGATATACCAGTATGGGATTTTTCGTGGTATTAACCCTTTATATTATTAATATTATTTAATCTGTTCATTAGATCATATATTCGCATTTATCTGTCGGATGATATCATGGGTCAATTTGCACGCGTTAGGTTAAGTTGGATTTTTTAGTTTGGTCAAAGGCGACCTATGCATGTTGGGACGAGGGGACTCTTCGAAGTCCAAAAATTGCTCCTTGGAAACTCGATTCTAGGGCTTCGTTTGTTTTGCGGTAAACATTTTTCGAAAAAAAAAATCCTCATTTTCTGGCATTTAAGACGTGAAAAATAAGTGGTAAAAAAAAGTTTTCCGTCAGCGGAAAATACCCTTCTAAAATTGGGAAAAATGGAAAAAGGGAAATCATTTTTCCTCTTTCTCATGCTAGAGCCTTTTCCTCTCGCCTTCTTTCCAACCTTTTTTGAACTAAGATTCTATTTGTTTTATGGAAAATGAATAATTTTGAAGAAATTTTCCAGAAGGCGATCGTTTGTATCACTCGAGATAATTAGTTAATAGAAAGTGTTTTCATTATATTATGTCTAAATATTTTCGTGGACAATGAAAATATTTCTTGCTCGTTCATTTTTCGTAAGAGATATAAGCGATTGTTTTCGGAAAAAGATCTTTCTAATAATTCATTTTCCCCGAAACGAAAGGAGCCTAGCTTAACTCTTGAGATTCGCATAGTTGAAAAAATATGCTCCTTTTAGACGATGAAAAGATATTTTCCTTTTTATTTTTAGGTTTCAACTAAACATCAAAAAATATTGCCATTTTTTTTTTCTAGAAAATGACTTCCTTGAAAATCATTTTCCAAAAATGTCATATTCTCCGTGACTAACGGAGTCCAAGTAAGTGAATTGCAAATGAGATTTCACGATCTTGGAATGTGGGTCTTACTTGTTTCATTTTATTGCTCGATTAAATCCCGGGATTTAGTAGCTACAAATAGAAGTAAGCCCCATAAAAAACATTGTGATATTTTTCAAAAAAAAAAAAAGAGAGTCAAGTGTGTGAAAAAAGAAGTGGCAGCAAAAACTTTTGACGGGTCGTGAGGGTCGGAGCAACAGCGACGACAAAATGAGGATGTTTTGGCGACAGATGGAACGTGCCACTGACGTTAAAAACACGGAGCTTCTGTCGGGGATCGGGAGATTAGCGGCGGGTGCGCTTTGTCCGAAACACGGGAGCATTTTCGTTGTGGTTTCCTTTACAACTCGAAGTCTCGAACTCCTCTCTCGGAGAAAATTACCAAAACGGTTCTAAATTTACTGTATTTATGCCAATTCAGTCATAAACATTTTAATTATACCGACTGAGTCATAAACCTATTCACGTTTTGTTAATTGAATCTATCCTGTCAATTTTGATCGGAAATCGCTGATGTGGACATAGGCCGTTCTACGTGCCGTGACTGACGCTGACAATTTTTAATAAATATTTTAATATTTTTTCGAGATTTTTATTTTTTTCCTTTTTTTTCTTTTCTTCTTTTTTCCTCCTTTAATTTTTTTTAACTATGGCCGATGAGGGTCGACCCTCGCCGGCCACGGACGATGACGCCTTGCCCAAATCTGGGCGAGGGCTGCGACCCTCATTTACAGCTGGCGAGGGCATTGTGGCCTCGTTAGCAGTATGTGAGGGCTTCACTACCCTTGCCTAGTGGGCGGTGAGGGCCTAGCGACTCTCACCAGCCACAGTAAAAAGAAAAAAAAAAACAAAGAAAAAATAGAAGAATAAAAAAATTAATAAACAAGTCAAAAACTATTAAAAATTTAAAAAAATTATCCACGTAAACATTAATCGTGCCACGTAGGACGGTCAATGTCCACGCTAGCGATTTCCGGTCAAAATTAGTCGGATCAACACAATTGACAAAACATGAAAATGTTTATAACTCAAATGACACAATTAAAAGGTTTAAAACCGAATTGGTAAAACTGCGACATGTTGAGGACTTTTTCGGTAATTTGTCCCACGCTCTTTCGAGTGTTGACGACAGTCGTTCTCTTTCTTGAACTAGACGTTTCAATTTGAGCTTTGAACGAGCCCTCCTTTGATCTTGTGGAGTCTAATGGCTGTGGCGTTTAAGGGTAGTTCGAAATGATTCGAAGCTTGAACATGGGATTTCGCAAGGGTGGCGAGGCCAAATGCACGTAAAACATACGAGGTCGGAGCCATTGAATTGAGCCCAACCAAGCAAGCACTTACTAATGTCTGGATTTATGATGGATACAAGCGGCGCCCACGCTGTTCAATTCAAGTCCCAACAGCTACTAGAAAGGGCTATGGAATGCAAAAGAAATTGTAATGCATAAACATAGAGAGAATAATATCGTAACGGTGATGTTTATATTATCATACCGATCGATAATGTGATCCCACATTCAGTTTATTATTACCCCCACATTAATTAATTTTGTTGACGTTTATTGTCCGCATTAAGCCGCGTCCCAATTTTAAGTTAACTGTTTTGATGGAAGAGGTTATCTATGTAAGGGTGCGAATGAAAATATAAATACGTCTAAGTCAAACTCCTCGGGGATATAGAAAAACACGCAAGAGCGCAACTGACTAGAAGTACTCATTCACCGATCGTTCAAGTCTTTGCATATCTGGTTTTTGACTTCATTAATAGCTAGAGGTTTATACAGAATTTTTCACGTTTTCACATTTGATCCTGATTATGCATGGTTTTTGTTCATCCATCAATAATCGGAATCTTCAATCTTTTCGCGAATCTTCCAACAGTTTATATATCTCCGGTTCAAAATTCATAGTCGTTCCTGTACTTTCGTTTCAAGATATTCATTGCCCGCTCCATATTCAGTCGTTTTATATACAGATAGAGTTGATAAGGAAAATTGAGAATAGTCCCCAAAGAATTACTCCTAACACTTGTACTACACTGTTGATGAATCCTGGAACCTCTCTTTTGCCTGTTGAATTTGGGAAGCGAAACTCCAATGGCAGAAGACATCTCTCCTCTGCTATGGCACCTTACCATTTGTTCCGAAGACATATGCTCCTACACCCAACAGAAAAAAAAGAGCAGTTCGAATCAGGTTTTGATCAGGAATTCGACGATAGAGCAGTTTTCATCTGAAGCGCGATTAAAGTCGAGTGACTCGATTGAGAACAAACGATGCGCTAACTGATGAAGTAGTTTACAACTTTACACCAAGAAGAGGGAGTTTACCTAATGTGGGCATCAGCAAGGACAGTATGGCAATGCCGGTAATCTTGAGAGGCAAACCGACCTTGATCATGTCGGCGATTTCGATGTGGCCGGTTGTGAAGCCGACGATGTTGGAGGGAGTGCCGGTGGGGAGCAAGAAAGCAAATTGAGCCCCGATCGCTCCAGGAACCATCAGGAGCAGTGGGTGCACGCCCATGGTCTTGGCGATCTGAATGAGGAGAGGGATGAGAAGTGTTGTGGTCGCGTTGTTTGACGTGAACTCGGTGATCGTCCCGCTTATGGTGCAGACGGCCGGGGCGATGGCCAGGTAAGGTGCCGCCTCTAGGAATCCTAGGGTCTCCGATAGGATGTCCGCGAGCCCGCTGGAGCGGACGCCGTCGGCAATCGCGAAGCCGGCCCCGAGGAGGAGGATGATGTTCCACGGCAGCTTCTTGCGCTTGTTCCAGTCCATCAATTTCTCTCCTTTCTGCTTCTTGTTCGGGATTATGAAGAGCAACGTCGCCATCATCACCTGTTCTCAATAGCAAAAATCATGCGATTAGGATTTCGTAAATACCATGTTGCGTGACATAGCGACAAGAACACGAGTCGATGTCCAGATGGATCGAACATTTGGCGTAACTTAGTTTTGAACTCATATATACTCACACTGACGGTTCCATCGCCTGCTCTTCCTTCAAATAGAGCTCCCCAACCGGGAATGTCTTCTGTTATGCTTCTTGTCATCCACAAAACTATTAGCATCTGCACATTTTTTTCATTTATTCATCTTAATAATGCTGTCAATCCCATAAGCTAGAGAAATTACTAGTAAAATTCAAGTTAAGAACGCACCGAGAAGATGGTCAACACCATCTTTTCAGCAAATGCCATTGGACCTACACTCATATTTTTTCACACAAATTAACCTGAATTAGCTCATTCATCAACAAAGAAAAAGATGCCAGCCATTTTTCTTTTGATTAAGAAACACGTTGCACTTAATGATTTCAAGACCAAGATCATGAAATGAAAGGTAGGAAAGTGAGTTTTGGGGTCTCATTTACCTAACAGTTCAAGCTCTCTCTTGAGATGGGCCTTGTCCAAGTAAGCAGATAGAGCCCTTCCTGAGCCCCTTGAGCAGTACATCAAGCAGAGGATCCCCCACAAGCCCAAGAAGATCAACAAGGCCAGAGGGAACCCAAAGAAGAACCATGTGTTGAAGCTGATGGGGTTTGCCTCCGGGAAGTAGCTCTTCCACATCCCCACCAATATCAGGTTGACACCTGTCCCGGTGAGGGTGCTCATCCCCCCGACGGC